GAAGGAAGACGGGGAACACGGGCTCAGTGAGAATCCCGGGTCTTTTTCAAGCAGGAGGTTTGGCCCTGAACTCCCGTGGTGCAGGGAGGAGGGGGCGGGGGCCCTGGGCCGAGCCTGAGTCCTGCCGCCCCGCAGGCTCCTGGAGAAGCGGCAGGAAGGCGCGGAGACGCTGGAGCTGAGTGCCGACGGCCGCCCGGTCACCACGCAGACGCGGGACCCGCCGGTGGTGGACTGCACCTGCTTCGGCCTCCCCCGCCGCTACATCATCGCCATCATGAGCGGCCTGGGCTTCTGCATCAGCTTTGGCATCCGCTGCAACCTGGGCGTGGCCATCGTCTCCATGGTCAACAACAGTACGACCCATCGCAACGGCCACCTGGTGGTGCAGGTAGCGCACGGCGGGAGCCGCGGTGCCGCCTAAGCCCTGATGACGTCATGTCCATCCGGCTCAGCCCAGGCCACGCCCCCTTAAGCCACAGCCCGAGTAGCCCCGCCCATCTGTGCTGCCCCCTCTCCTCTGACTTGTCTCCAGGATCTTTCCTAAGCCCCGCCCTAATCTACATGAAGCTCCGCCCCTATTGAGATCCGGTCCCTAAAACCAAAATGTGGACAGGACCCCAGCTTTAGGTTCCCTATGTATTGCCCGTGTTCATTTTGGGCCTCCTAGCAACTTTTGCTCCACCCGCGTCCCACACCTGTCCCAGGGTCACATCTTCATCCCAGTCCCATCACAAGCTCCCCACTGAATTTTAAAAAATATATTTTTTATTGATTTCAGAGAGGGAGAGAGAGATAGAAACATCAATGATGAGAGGGAATCATCAATCGGCTGCCTCCTGCACGCCCCCTACTGGGGATCGAGCGCGCAACCCAGGCATGTGCTCTGACCAGGAATCAAAGCGTGCCCTCCTGGTTCATGGGTTAACGCTCAATCACTGAGCCATAGCAGTTGGGCATCCCCACCGAGTTTTAATCCTGACTTTTCTGAAGTGCTACCCCTGCTAAATCCCGCTTCATCTGCTCTGGCCATTACCTAAAACCCACCTCACATCAGACTTTTTTCCTATTTTTTTAAAATATGTTTTTATTGATTTTTAGATAGAGAGGAAGGAAGAGGGAGAGAGAGATAGAAACATTGTAACCTGGGCATGTGCCCTGACTGAGAATCGAACCTGGGACCTCTTGGGTCCATGCGACAACGTTCAATCCACTGAGCCACACCCGCTGGGCTTTCTCCCTATTTTAATTTCCGGGTAGGCCATGCCACTGTTTCAGAAAACAAAGTTCTGATTATGGCTGTGGTCTACTCTGCCTCTAGCTCCCTTCCGATCAGGCCGACCCCTTTGGCTACTTCTTGTCCTTGACTAGAACTCGTCCAGGTTTACTGAGCAAACAGTTGCTAAGTTGGTTAGAAGTAGAGAAAGAATCGCCACCCTGGGTATGGGTCCCTAGACATTCAGAGCAGGGGCACTGAGGCAGGGCCACAGGCAGACTGAGGCATCTAGGCAGCAACAGGCCCCGTTGCTAAGGTAGCACAGGCCCTAACAACGTGGAGACGCCTAGTTCGGTCTGGACCGAGGGAGGGATGGCTTGAGCTCTGATGGGCGGGGCGAGAGAGGGGATCCTTGTTGCGGATTGGCCAAGGGACTAAGTCTGTGGGTGCTGATTGGTGGGGGGGGGGCACATTCCGGCGACTGGTTTGATGTGCTTTTCGGCCCACAGAAAGCTCAGTTCAACTGGGATCCAGAGACTGTTGGCCTCATACACGGCTCCTTTTTCTGGGGCTACATTGTCACCCAGATTCCCGGGGGATTTATCTGCCAAAAATTCGCAGCCAACAGGTACGGGTCGGGGTGGGGTTTCTTACATTGGGCGGGAACTACAGTTGCGTGGGTGGAGTTAGAGAGTGTGACCTGGCATTTGGGGGCTGACTTTGGACCATGGGAGGAGCCTGGGGGCGGGGTCTTAGAGGAAGGCGGGGCTTGTGGTTGTGAAAGGTGGGGGTCGGAGAGAAGGTGGGGCCTGGGCTTGTGGGGAACCGGGTTCTGCTGTGGGCAGAGAGAGCAGAATCCTATGCATGGTGGGATAGCCACGGACTCCTCCCATCAGGGTTTTCGGCTTTGCTATTGTTGCTACATCCACGCTGAACATGCTGATCCCCTCGGCTGCCCGCGTCCACTATGGCTGTGTCATCTTCGTGCGGATCCTGCAGGGGTTGGTGGAGGTAAAGTCCCGCTATACGTGACCCGCCGCCTTCTGACCCCACCTCTTCGCCTTTAAAAAGATGATATAGATATAGATATAGATATAGATTTCAGAGAGGAAGGGAGAGGAAGAGAGAAATAGGAACATCAATAATGAGAGAATCATTAACCGGCTGCCTCTTGCACGCCCCCTACTGGGAATCGAACACGCACCCCGGGCATGTGCCCTTGACCGGAATCGAACCCGGGACCCTGCAGTCCGCAGGCTGAGCCAAACCAGCTAGGGCCAACCTCTTCTTCTTGACTTTGGCTTTCTTCTCCCCAGGGCGTCACTTACCCCGCCTGCCACGGGATCTGGAGCAAATGGGCCCCTCCCTTAGAGCGGAGCCGCCTGGCGACCACAGCCTTTTGCGGTGAGAGGAAGGTGCTGGGATTTAGATTTGTGGGTCTGAAAGAGGAGGGGGTTGGGAGAAGGAGGGGGTTGGGCACTGGCCGGATATCTGTGGAAGGAGGGGCTGTGGCTTGCACTTTTGTGTCCTGGAAAGACGAGGCTGGGGGTCCGAACCCCTGGATCCGGGGGGGGTAGCTAGGTCTGCTCTCTCTCCCGCACCCCGCCCCCCCATCAGGTTCCTACGCCGGGGCGGTGGTGGCCATGCCTCTCGCCGGGGTCCTGGTGCAGTACTCAGGCTGGAGCTCTGTGTTCTACGTCTACGGTGAGGGGCCCGGGCGCCGGGGTTCGGGGGGTGCTGGGCCAGAGCGAGGCCGGTCGTCACCTCGCTTCCATCCCCCTCCTGACCCCCTCCAGGCAGCTTCGGGATCTTCTGGTACCTGTTCTGGCTGCTCGTCTCTTATGAGTCCCCGGCGCTGCACCCCAGCATTTCAGAAGAGGAGCGCAAGTACATCGAAGAAGCCATCGGCGAGAGCGCCAAACTCATGAACCCCCTCATGGTCCGAGCCAAGCCTGCGGGGTGGGGGCGCGGTGGGGCGGGGAGAGAGATCCAAGCAGGGAGGCAGGAGAAAGGGGGCTTAGAACCCGCACAGCGTGTAGGTCTTGGTGCTTTCCCCGACTCGGGAGACCTGATGGGAACGCCCAGTGGGCGGGGCCAGAACCTAGGAGGCGGGGTTAACGCCGGGGGCGGGCACGATTAGCAGGTGCTGGGGCGGGGCTAGGTCGCCAGCGGGGCGGGACCACTGGTGGGCGTGGTCAAACCAGCAGAGGCGGGATTAGAATGTGGGGTTTTGCTTAGACCTGGTGGTGGGTGAGGCTAGATTTACGAGTCGATATTGAATGGAAAGATTCCTGGGCCCACACTTATGGGTCCCTGAGGGTCACCGAGGCCGGGCATATGCGAACCGGAGGGGCCACTGTAAATCAGGAGCCTGCATTCCTGAAGTGTCACTCGCGGTGGTTCTCAACCTTCTGGCCCTTTAAATACAGTTCCTCATGTTGTGACCCAACCATAAAATTATTTTCGTTGCTTCTTCATAACTGTAATGTTGCTACTGTTATGAATCGTCATGTAAATATCTGATATGCAGGAGGGTCTTAGGCGACCCCTGTGAAAGGGTCGTTCGACCGCCAAAGGGGTCGCGACCCACAGGTTGAGAACCGCTGCCTAGAGGCTAGGGTGCAGGGCCCCCGCAGGGACATGGGCTGGCGCCCCTGGGGGTTTTAATGAAGTGGGGAAACCGGGGTCTCTGCGGGACTGTAGTGAAGCTCCTGAAGGGACATGGAGAGCCCCTGGGTCCCGTCTCAGCGGCCCCTGTTCTCGCCCCCACAGAAGTTTAAAGCACCTTGGCGGCGCTTCTTCACCTCCATGCCCGTCTACGCCATCATCGTGGCCAACTTCTGCCGCAGCTGGACGTTCTACCTGCTCCTCATCTCCCAGCCCGCCTATTTCGAAGAAGTGTTCGGCTTCGAGATCAGCAAGGTTGGACCCGGGGTGGGGTCGGGGGAGGAGGAAGGGCAGGGGGCGCGGCGGGGCTGAGACAGAAGGAGCAGAGCGTTGGTCCCAAGGGGGTGGAATGAGGGACAGGGAGGAGCCCGTGCGCAGGAACCGGGTGGAGACGCCCGGCTATCGGCCCTGAGCGCCGGCCCTGTCCTCCCCCCGCGCAGGTGGGCCTGGTGTCGGCGTTGCCCCACCTGGTCATGACCATCATCGTGCCCATCGGTGGCCAGATCGCCGACTTCCTGAG